TGAGAAGCATCGTAGGTGGTGGTGAGATGGTGGTCATGCATGTAGTTCACAAGATGCAAAGTAAGGAGGTTTTTAATATACTGCGTCCAGAGGTCTGCTTTCGACATGGCCAGAAGGGAGACATCTGGAGTGTAGATTTGTGAAAATAAACAAGTCAGCCAAGGAACACAGGAACTGTTATCTTGGATTACAAGAAAGAGGGGAACCATATGTTCTCGAATGGTCTGGGAATTAAACAGAATTATCATATCTAAAAGAAACAAACTGTCGCTGGATTGCTAAGAGAATAGCAACCACGCTTTGAGCCCAGTGGACAGTCAACAGAAGGGATATTTTAATTTGTCAGAAACAAAAACAACACTGTTTCTGGCTTGATGACAAGACGTATTTTTCCCACTAGTCATGGGATTTAAAGAAACCATGCTGATTGGCTGGTGGATCCATCAGCCTGTTTTTCCCTTTAGGTTAACAGTCTGGTGCAGAGCAAGACATCTTTGCAAAATGCTGTCCAAACTGCAGTGATGGAGTTGAACAAGATCAGCTCAACCCAAATTATTGTCCTTAAATACATCATTTAGATAAACACAAATGCATGCAAACAATTTATTTGCACACAAAAACAATGTAAAGTGCAAATATATTTATTAGTGTGTACATTAGGTAATGAGACCAATTCTTGTTCTGTGGCCATACATGGAATTCTTTTCTTTTTTTTTAACAGAGGGGGGTAAATATGTGTTGTTCCACCGCATGGCATCTCTAAAACAGACTGGTATTCACGAAACAACCAGGTATGCACGATACTGGAAATGATATTGGGAAGCTTGAGAGTGGTGTTGCAGAAATCACAATTTGATCGTGAGTCACACTTCTGTGATGTAGAGAGTTAATGTGGTTTGTTGACGCTGGCTTGAGGAATGTTGTCCCACTCATTCCAGAAGTGAGAAAGAACTCCTGGCGAAGTTGAGGAACACATTGGGGGACAGGATCATGTTGTCGGACGCGTCAATCAAGAGGTTTCTTAGAGGACAAAGGGTGGAGTTGTGGATATTTTAATGCTTGCATGCAACCTTAACTGACATGCAGCATCCAACAGCCAACAGCACATTCTCAGCCTTCTCTTGTTATTTGTGGCATCAAGTCATTTGAATAAAGCTGCATTTTCAGGTGGCATTTTATAGTCACTAATTCAAAGGAGTTACAGTGTGCTCTGATCATTGTCCTTTAAAGCTACACCTAACTATGGTGTGGATTAACTAAAGAGAGGAGATTTTGTCATCAAACATCTCAGACATGATTCCTGCAAATTGGCCAAATGTAACATTTTTCTGAACAGAACACCAGAAACAAGACTTCCTGAGTCAGAAAAGAAAACCATTTGCATGGTGCACATATATTTTTATTCAGTGTATTTGTTTTGTACATTGGCAATCTAAAACACTTTCCTGATTATATAAACAGTTACAGAGGATGTGTGAGGGTCAATGACACAAGACAAAAAGTCTTAAGTTCTGCTAAAGACTTGTCTTTTGTCTGTAATTTCAGAGCTGAGGTCAACACCTTGAACTTGCTGATTATGTTGGTGCTGCGTTATTGTTCATGCTCATGTGTCAAGAGAAATAAGAGGAGGGAAGATATGAGCACAACAAACACACACATAATGTTGGTAATATTAATGGAATTTATCATATATTTTTTTTTGTCATGCATGCTGAAAGTGAAAAATTCCCGTTTGCCCAGATCTCGTGTCCCCATCATCAGCTACATTTCCCCCAGAAGAGGTTTCACTCCTCTGAGAGTGCATTGTTCACGTTATCAAGCATAAGAAAGTGTCACCATTATCTGCATCATGCATTTGCACACACTCAGTCAGCCTCCCATACTGCGAGCACATGACCAAGAGTGGAATAAAGGGAGAGAGAGAGAGAGGAAGGGAGGGGAAGAGAGTGACACAGAGCGTGGATGAAAGTGAATCTATATGTGTGTCTGGACATGTGAGTGTCTGTGTTGGTTAGCATTTCTGTGCATTTTCTCTGTAGCTCAAAGGGCTGAGACCTATTCATCCACCCAGACCTCCACAAATGCTCACCCACCACATTTGTTTCCATTCTTTCTCTCTTTCCTCATGTCGCATCTCTTGTTCTCCTCTGATGATCGTCACCATCAGCGCCGGACAGCTATTGCAATGGAGGGGCCATGGTAGCAACACCTCAGCAAAATGCTTTCCCTCTCTGCTCTTTCTAGTGGAGAAGTGAATTTAATAGAGCAGACAGATCAGGGTCAAAGCTGCCAGAAATGGGCAACCCTCCTCTCTCAGTTACCAACAGCCTTCAGTAGTAGTAAAGAGCCGCACTCAGGGCACATGCAGTTGGAATAAGCATGTATTTATGTGTGGTTTTTCTTGTTAAAATAGACAAAATTCACCTGCAGGGGAACCAGGCCTCGGGAGAACCGAGGTCGACTTGCGTGCAGCAGTGAGGAATGGATGAGCAGATGGATGCACGGACTGGTGGACAGACACTAAAATCATTTTCTAGCCTGAAGGGAGAGGAATAAAGGCGAACTTAAGGTGATGAGAGAGCTCCATATTGTGTTGCCGACCGTGGGAACTGCCATGTTATGTAATGGTCGGCACAGCAGCATATACATAGTCATACAGCCAGAGGCAGTGGCTCAGGGGTGAGTCAGATGGACCCCTTTTTTTTCTGCTAACAGGACTTCTTAAGTGCTCCTGCCATCAGCATTCTGTTGCTTGCATAACAACCTCTCCAGCCCCGGGAACCCAGAGAAAACACGTGATCACTAAGAGGGTTCCTTCTGGCTAACGGGTGATTTCTCATTCCCTCTCTTCCCCTTTTTTTTCTTTTTTCCTCCCCTCTCGCTTTCTCCTTCTTATCAACAAAGGGGCTTTTTTTTTTTTTTTCCCTTCTCAGCAATGGACTATACAGTGAACATGGCTAGCAGTTCCACAGAGGATAGCAGGATGACAACATTTTTTTTTAAAAAGGGGGAAGTAGATTGGGGGGATTACTGCTTATACTGTAAATTCTTGGAACCTGTTAATGACTAAATATAATAGTAGCCTTTGGGGATAGTGGGGATAAACAACATCTGGGGAGCGAGAGGAGGAAAAAAAAAAAGAAACACAGCCCACAATGCAGCCAATAGACAACAGACAGTGTATAATTTGTGTACATACTGAGGGCAAAAAAAAAAAGAAAAGCTGCCCACACGTTCTTTACACATCATGCTTGCAGAGGTTAAAGCTGTGGAAGATTAAAAAATAAAAGCAAAGCAAACAGAGACATAAAGAGAAATACAAGTCACATTGTTGGATGTATTTCCTCTCTTTGTATGCATTTACTGTTAATATGAGACGTTTGTTGTCGCAGAAATGATGCAGGCGATTTTAATATCAAATCACGAGGCAGAAAACAAAGTGAAGCGCTGTGTTTAAACCACTGTTATTGGCTTTTATTGGATGTTTTTTTCTTTACTGAGATGGAGACGCTTCAACCATGCAAAAACAAAAATGAGAACAAAATCAACAGCTTCTAAGAGCCAATGTGTGAAATTCTTATCACAATGCAAAAGAAACTGTCCTCTTGACATGTGTTTTTTGTTGAATCATGGTGCAGTGAATTCATGTATATTTTGTTCTTTCTTGATCTGAGTTCTTTTTATTTAATCCTTCATAGAGAATTCATACATGGAGCATCCCCCCCAAAGAAAATTGTGTTACCAGTTTTTCAAAGTATTTTCATTATCATAATTAAAATCCATTTGAGCTACAGTTCAGGGAGGGTTAAGAAAACGATTTAACACCTGAAACCAACATAGCTGCCTGTGAGATATTCTATGCAACGTGTAGGTTAACCGTCAACCATCTGTCCTGCACATGTCCTTCCTTCCCCTTTAATCCATTTTCCTCTGAGCCTTTTATGTTCCCTTCTTCTTCTCCTAATTCCCCCCCCTCCCCTGCTCCTTACGCCCTCCAACCTGCCTTTGTAACGTGTATTCTGCCTAACACAGTGTGTGATATGTTCAAGAAGTGTGTTTAAATGAACGCGTTCTGGCAAATGGTTTCTTACAGGCACGTTTGAAGGGAGATCAACACAAATCAGTGCTAAGTGAGATGAAGTTCAAAGAGTGATAAAGCCACCAGAGATTTGGTGTTGCTATGGAGATGAGTGAATCTGTGGATGTGTGTAGCATGTGGTGTGTGTTTCACCTGATGTTTTTGGTGGGTTGTACTAAATCTGTCACTGTGGTCACCACTTAACTGTGGCTATGCGCTTCTAGAGGGTGTTTTAGAGGCAATAAATGCTGTTTGTAAAAGAAATAACACAAACAGTAACTGCCTCACACACAACTGCAAACACACACTGCAAGAGATCTCAAATTTTACGCAGCAGCTCCTCCAACGAGCACCTTTTCACAGTCATTACGCAGGTTTTATTTGCAAAAATGACACAGCTCATCTTTTTGGGATATAACAGGAAACTAGTGCGCAAAAATCCATGACAACCCCATCTCTCATATTAACTCCTGCTCGCATGAATATTGTTCAAGCGTCACATGAGCCAGCTACCGGCTGCACGTGCAGGGCGCACGGCATCGCCAGCTAGAGAGAGAGAGAGAAGGAGGCGCTGGATAGTGCGCATGATCGAGAGTAAACACAGAGAGACCACTTGGTAACCACAAGTCATCAAGTGCTTTTTCACTTTGGTTTAGACAAGTGCAATTACTGGAGAAATTAGAACAACATTAAGAGTAATTCTGGATGTTTTAAGCAACTTAAAGACTGACAGGAAGGTTCTTTAGGGCATTTCAGCACCGGACAGCTCTCTTTCTCCGTCTCTGCGCGTCTGATGCGCACAAGCTCCTGTTTGGCATGTGGCAGTGAACCGTCCATCCCAGCTGGTGGGGGGTAAGAGCAGAGAGCATGGCGGGATCTCCACGGCATCCTCTCCAAATCTGCTAAAGCCGGAACTCGAGAGATGAGCATACCGGAGTTCCTCCTGGAAGTGTCCATCGTGGTCATTTCTGTCGTCTCGCTGCTGACCAACTTGTCAGTGCTGCTATGTTTCACCCAGAGCGCCGAGTTGAGAGCTCACGTGCCGGGAATCTTCGTCCTAAACCTGTCCTTCTCCAACATCCTCCTCACTGTCATCAACATGCCCGCCACTTTCCTCGGGGTGGCCAAGAGCGCAAAGCCATTCGGGGACTTGTTCTGCAGCGCCGTGAGCTTCTCTGAGACTTTCATCACCACTAATGCCATGTTGAGCATGGCCGCGCTGAGCATGGACAGGTGGATAGCGGTGGTGTTTCCTCTGAGTTACTCCAGCAAGATGCGCTACAGGGACGCCTTTCTCATCGTGGCCTACTCCTGGCTGCACTCTCTGACTTTCTCCCTGACCCAGCTCATGATGGACTGGGGAGGCTACAGCCACACTTACGCGTCGTGCACGGTGCACCTGGACGCGGAGGAGGCGTCGCAGCTGACCGCCTATACGACTTTCACGGCGCTGTTCCACTGCAGCAGCTTCGCGCTCTGCCTCCTGGTGCTGTGCTTCGCCTACCTGAAAGTTCTGAGAGTGGCCAGGTCGCACTGCAAGAGGATCGATGTGATTACGGTGCAGACTCTGCTCCTGCTGGTGGATATTCACCCCAGGTAGAGTATAATGGAGATGTAGACCCTGAACATTTTTTTTACTGATAACTGTCTGATGATTTTTTTGAGAGCTGGAGAAAACTCTGGACTCATTGTGCACAGAGCTGCTTTGTAATAATCTAAATAGTTAATATACAGGATTTATCAATAATTAATGTCGCACATGAATTAATCTCTCTGTGTCTTGTCTGTCAGTGTGAAGGAGAGATGTCTGGCCCAACAGAAGAAGAGAAGGCAACGTGCTGCTAAAAAGATTTGCGTCTTTATTGGTTCCTTCATCCTCTGCTTTTCACCCTATGTAATAACAAGGTAACACACTAAGTTTATGCTGACCCTGCACTTTTTATCATGTCCCAGACACGGAGTCCACAGACACTAGACACAAGGTCATACAGGTGGTTAAGAAATGAGTAACACAAAGACAAACTGCAATGACATGTCTAATGTCCAGTGCTGTTGAATCTGTAGTTTCAATTCTGTGATAAATTGCTTCAGTGTAAAGATACAAGAACAACACGAACCTCTGAATCCACTGTCAAGTTGAGCCATCACTTCTCTAACTCTGCATCATCATAATAGGCTTTAATGAGGTGACACTCTTTTGCAAGGATATTGCAGTAGATTGCATGAGACTGATCATATTATTATGTCTATGCAGGAGCTAACAGGTGGAAAGTAACTTGAAAAGTGTATGCTTTAAGAGAGCAAAAGTGAAAATATCGATGATTAAGTCTCACAGATGCACTAGTGGTGCAAAAATCTCTTCTTGCATTTAATTGCTGAGCAGTTTCTGCAGCTCTATTTTGTCGAACTAAACACAGAAATTAACTTTTTTAACTTTCTTTTCCATCACCACAAGCCATGTTTCTTCCACTGTACAAATACAAGACCCAGTTTTGCGGAAAATCTAGTTTCTACCTCATTAACATGCCTAAATGTTGGGGTTTTTTTATATGCTGGAAAACATAATATGGGGGAAATAAGTAGTCAACACCATGGCTGAGAATTTCCACCATGAAACCGCAGTGTACTGATGACAGTCTCAAGCATTGATTCAAACTTCTGGGTTTTCAAATGAATGGAAATCCTACAAGTTTCCAGTTTGAACATGAACATGATAAATGACTCCATTATTACAACTTGGCACTGTGTAGTACAAAGTACTTTTACAGGGTTGTGAGAAGAGTTGTAGGTGAGCTGGTGTGCTTGAGCTGCAGCTCGCAAGGCGGGATGGATGCAAAGAACAGCAGGGCCGTCATAGATCCAACAGTGCAGAGTTACATCTAATCCTTTTTGTGGCAAGAGAGGATTAATTTTCTGGGGGAAAAAAACTTATAAATATGTAACTTTGATACACAGAGATTAGTTTTTAGGGATTAAATCAGTGACTGGAGGAGGACTTTAATTCAGTTTTATTCATAGAGCCCAAAATAACAAATCACGAGGGCCTATGTGGCCTTAAACCCTCAATTTGAAAAGCAAAACCCCCAAATCCCTCTTACAGGGGCAAAGTGGAGGAAACCTCAGGAAGCGCAGCAGACAAGAGATCCCTTTTGTGTTTGTCTATAATTTGTACCCAATGTAGAGCTGACTTTTTCTGCTTGTGTTTGTGCTGCAGGTTGGTGGAGTTGCTGCCGTCTGTGCACATCCCCCGCTACTGGGGCATCGCCACCAAATGTCTGTTCTATGCCAAGGCCTCCAGCGACCCATTTGTGTACTGTCTTCTTCGTCAGCAGTACAGGAAGGTGCTGGTTGGCGTCATCAGCCGATTTGTGAGAAAAGATCAGTACTTCATGTCCGTCCACAGCACGAGCAGCACGTTGGACACCACAGATGACAACTGTGTCGCCAGGATCACCTGAGCCTGATGGGCTAGTTTTTTAAATGATTCATCTCTTCTGCAGGAAGGTCAAAGGTCAAGGTCTTTAAAGTGTAAAAGATCAGCAAAGGGAAAGAAGTCCATGCCTTGAGCTGGACCATGGGAGTGTTTACGCCACAGTATTTCCAGCTGGAAGGACTGTGAAGGACACATGACATTGTTGACTCAATGAGACCGCGCTCACCTCTGATGTCTGCCAAAGGCCTTTTCAGACTCTGCAAACTGCTATTGTTTCCCCACAGGGCTCTCGTCAGTTTCGCCTGCTGAGGCATTGCCAAGGACGCACCATATGAAAAAAACCCACAGCACCGTGTTTGCTGCCGTCATCGGTGTAAATGTATCGCTGAAGTGCTGTAACACTGAATATGTCCAAAAAGTGGTCTTTAAGTGTCAGAGGCAAACTGGAAAAAATGCTTATTCAGATGACTGTTTTGGAGCTGTTGTTCATGTTTGTGTCAGTGCCAGTAGAGTGTAAAAAAAAACAAAAAAAAAAACTGGTGTGAAGATGTTATATCACAGCGAGAACACATATTAAAAATAAACTCCACTGCCACAGACACACAGTCTGCTACGTATGTGTAAAACATCATTACAGGTCTGGGAATATTTTTATGCTGTACACTCTAAAAAAATTAGGGTCCCAAAAAAAACAAACCCCCACAACAATTTGAATTAGTTTTTTTGAGTTAGGACAATTTTGAATAAAACTGAATCCAACCAACATGCAACTTAGAGTTAAAGGAAAATAGCTTTTCATCAATCAAGGCTATTTTTAATTGTTCGTGTTAACCATCAGAAATTCTTCAGGCTTGTTAAAATGGAGAAAGAGATTGGATTGAAGAAAAATCAATTTATGAAGCTGATTTAATTAACTTACTTCAACTTAATTTTAGTTTTAATTACACACACTATTAAGTTGATGCACTTATCAACATTTTAACTAGTTCACCCCACCCTTTCAAATTTTTGTTTGGGTTTGTCTGGGTTTGTCTATTCTTTTTTTTTCCTTTTTTTATTTTTATTTTTTTTTCTTTTTTTTTTTTTTTTTATTTTTTCTTGTTATTTGCTTTTTTTTTTTTTTTTTCTTCTTCCCAAAACGGTATTATCAGGCCCTTAAAATAATTACAAAGGAAAAAAAAAGAAGTAACATAAAAGCAGTAATTCATATTCAAAGGTAAATCTATTGCAATTTTTAATCTAAATAGATAAAACCTGCTAAAACGTTTAATTGGTAGCAAAACTTGGAAAGAACAGAATATGTCACACTCAATAACTAGCAAAGTTTTATTCTGATTGTTTAACAAAATGTTGTTTCTAAATATCAGTTCAGCTTGTTACTATTATATCATTATATTTCATGTTTACTTTTTAAAATGTAGATTTTTAAAAAATAGACGTGTTTGGTGAACTGATGGAGGTAGGTCCCTTAATTATTATTATTTTCTTCTCTCTTTTTTGCATTAATCAGAGGTGATTTCAAACTTGTTTAACTTGTGGCCTCACATGATATTACCGTTTGTGAATTTTTTTTGCTTTTCAGTATTTCAGATTGGTCTCACTTCAAGGACTCATAAGGATGGGGGTTCAGCATTTTACAAAAAAAGAAAGAAAGAAAGAAAAAATAAAGACAAAACTCAGATGCAAGATTTTCTACACCACATTTTTACCTCTATAACTACTTTTGTGACCCCCTCAGACTTATTTTGGGATCCTGTGGCCCCTCTGGAGGGATCTCTATTATAAATCCACATAATAGCTTCCTATTTTAAGAACACAAAAGCGAGAAGATCGACGTTGATGAAGTTTCACAGACACATTAATGGTGCAAAAAAAAAAAAATCTATTCTTGCATTTAATTGGTGAACATCCTCTGTAGCTCTATTGTGTCAAATAACCCAACTTCTTTCATTCCCACCCCCACAAGCCACGTTTCTTCCTCGTGCCCCTCTACACACACACACACACACACACACACAGTGAAATATGATCGGCGCAGCGTTGAGCCATACTCCTGGCTCCGCTTTTCGGGTCAGGGATGCTCCGCGCAGACAAAGGAAGGAGGTTTCCGTGCTGTGGGTGGTAATTATCATCCAGCCTGAGAAGACAGAGACGCAGCAGCAGCAGCAGCAGCAGACACACTCACACTGCCACATCACACACACAGCCTGCTGCACTACAACATGCATTTAGGAGTTTCGCTGCTGTTCCTTTTCTTTGCGAGAAGTTGTCGGTGCGCCCCGCAGCAGACTTGTCATCCCGGAGACGAGTTTTTAGGTAAGAGCTCTCAGTTTCAACACATGTGCTTACTGCAACCTGTGAACAGTAAGTTAAAAAGCATGGCTGACTGTTTTTAAGGATGGAAATAAGATTTAAAGTGAACGATTTAAGTGGACACTGCCGAAGTTTCCCATCAACAGAACTCTGACGGTGCGCAACACGGATCCTAATTTAAACACCCATAAGATCAATCCAGTGATAATTACTAACCTGAAAATTGTTTGTTATAGTTCATTTTTCTCAATCTTCGTCAGCTTCATTACTTTATAGCTACATCTGGATTGTGCAGAAACCTATTTGATTTCGTTATGCTGCAAACTGAACATCATGCAACAGGCAAATTGCCAGCTGTTCTTTTCCTTCTTCTTCTTTCTTTTCTTCCCAGAACCACATCAGTCTTGTTACAAACAGTGATCACAGTAAACAACAGTTCCTGCTTTGCCTTCTGTCATGCTTTTGAAGATGTCGCCTCCTAGCGTTGGATTTGTTTTCTCTAAAGTGTGACTTGTTTGTTCCACAGGAAGATGCAGCAACAGCGTCTATGAGGAAAAACGTATGTGGATAATTTATTGCACTTGTTTTTGCAATATGAAATGCATGCATTAAACAAAACAGAGTTTATATTTTCAAGTTTAAAAAGTGATAATAGCTGCAAATAATGTTACATCCGTGCAGTGTGTCCTTAGCTGAATCTGCAGGTCATAAACTGACCTCCAGGGCTGGAAAACCACACAGTTGGAAATACCAACTGCTGCTGCAGCAAGATGCAACAGGCCTCTGCTTCAGGTTCATTCTGTACCTACCAGAGGATTTATTGGGCCTCAAAATCGCTTTTCTGAGGCTTCATACATCAGACAAGTGTCATTAGTTTTCCAGTTAGATGGTTAAAAAAAATAGCACTTCTTTCACTGATTTCCAACCCAGAGGCAGTGAACGGTGTGAGTGGCAGGTTGAAACTGAGCAGGAGGTCAGTGACGACACCACAGACTCATTCCTCATGGAAGCTCTAAAGTATGTAAGAAAGGAAGTCCAAAACCTGTAAAATGTCCCATCGGATCTGTATGTAGCGCAGAGATAAGACATTGTTCCTACATCTGCTTTTAAGGATGTGGCATAAAGATCTTTGAGCACAGCTGCAAATCAAATGTGAAGAATACTGACCTGAAATGCAAAGCTTCTTCAAAACTAAACCACAGAAATGGTTACTTTTTATTTTTAAAAATTAGAACACAAGGCAAGAAAGACTTTTGAGAAAAAAACAAATGAATAAATACACAAAAATAAAGAAAGCTCACCTGGATTGAATCGTTGGATTTGTTGGGTTTTCTTGTATGTTTTTGTAGGGCTGTAACTTTAGTTTGTTCAAGTTAATATCCATAACTAATAATGCTGTAGGGTCCTCGGCTGAATATTAAAATTAGTCTGGTTAATCTACATCATAAATGATACTGCAGGGTCTTCACCTTAATATGTATTATAGATAGTTAAAGTGTATTTTATCCTTAATATTTAAAACAGCCAGCTAAATGCAAATCATAAATAACACTGTCGGGCCTTGATGACAATATTTAAACTTGTTTGGTAAATTTTTAACATCAAGCTTTTTGGCTTAACACCTGTAAATAGTATCAGTAACTTGACTTGACTAAATGAATTAAACTCTGTCCTCTTTTAAACATATCATCTTTCTGTATGTCTCCTGTCAGCTACGTGCACAGAGCTGAACCTGGGCTACTGCAATGATTTGGAATATTCTAGGTGGGTCATAAGAGTGATGAAATCAGTGCATATCAAAACCTTTAACCACACACAGCCTTTGTTTTGAGGCTTGTGTTCTTATTGTTTAAAACCCAAATAAGTTTTTAAGTTCTTGACAAATGATTGTGTTTAAATCCTGCTGTTTAAACCATACTTCCAGCACCATATTCCCCAACATCCTCGGCCACCGGACTCGCATGGATGCAGAGTCAGGAGCAGAGTACCTCCTCCTCAGCGTCATCCACGGTCTGCTCAACGGGGAGTGCTCCCCTGAGATCCGTCTCGTAGGCTGCTCGGTGCTTGCCTCGCCCTGCAAGGATAACAAGATGATCAAACCGTGTCGAAGCACATGTGAGGCACTGAGGAAGGACTGCGCTCATGCCTTTGAGGCCATCCAGATGGCTTGGCCCTACTTCCTGGACTGTGATCGCTTCTTTGCCAGCGACCAAGAGGGCTGCTTCGACCCGCTGGCAGGGCTGAAAGGTAACGGTCAAACTGTTGTAATGCTCTGTTTGCACCAATGCAAACGAGGTTAAAAATCGCACTTTGCTGTCCTTTACCTAAACCCTGGTGTCCCTCCTTCAGCCAGACAGGAGCTGGCGATGTCCAGTCTGTCTCCTGAGGAGCCCAGCACCATCATCCAGTTCACCTACACCTCCAACGCCCAGATGTACAGCTTACTGAAGAGAACGGCAGCCAAGTGCTCCCATATCTCTCATGTGTACAGCATCGGACGCAGCACTGAGGGCAGAGATCTGCTGGTGATTGAGTTCACCAACAACCCGGGACAGCATGAGCTGTGTGAGTAACAAAGCACACTGTAAAACAATCACAATGTGATATTTGTGTTACGCTTTTCCATTTTTTATTTTTATTTTTTTACCATTTTCATTGTCATTTCTTGGTTTACCTACATGGCACTGATACTCATCTTATCCATAAATGTGCATTATCAGATTTTTTGGCGACTCGTTGGCAGTGAGAACAACACAACATTTATCACTTTATAATGCTGATATTGGGAAATACTTTACAGATAGTTTCTCATTTAAACATCTGAGTAATACGTCACAAAGTTTACTTGCTTATTGCTTTGGTCTTGTGCAGGTGATATGCAGAGGTGTTATAAGAACTTTTACTGACAACAGCTTCTTGCCAGAAACAGCAGTGAGACAGATGTTGTTACAGACCTCCACAGAGATGTGGTTTTGTCACTAATAAAGTATGTTGGTTTTATCTGTTTAGATCAGTGTTAAATACTAGGCTCGGGGGAAGCTTACTAATAACTTAAACCACTATCACTTGTAGTAGTATTAAAGACTCTCTCTCGTGAAAACCAAGCTTTTTATCTTGTTAACATGTCCCCATGATATTTTAAACTGCCATATATCGATGACAGTCTCAAAAACATGGGTTTAAATCTCTGGGGTTTCATACGTAACATATCTAAAGAACTAAACCTGTCAACTTGCTGGGTAAGGTTTTTCGTACTATTCTTCTTCTTCTTCAGAATCCGTTTCCGAGCCAAACACAAATGAGCTGTGTGGTGCAGGGGTTGGTGGAAAATGAGTAGGAGACTTCATCTTCACATTCTAGAGGAAGCAATGGTACAGAGTTACATATAAGCCATTTAAAGGATTATTTTCATGGGAAAATGTCTAAAGCTTTAACTTTGACAGATGTGAGTTTTTAGAGCTGAAATCAACACGTGAAAAGGGACTTTAAATAATTCTGTAAGTGCAGAGTGCAGATCAGCCGAGGTTGTCATCATGCTGCAGGTGGTAGCACTGATTGTACCTGAGACGTGCACATAATGAAACACGGTGAAAGGACCCACTCATCAGTTAGAAAACATTAGTGCTAACAATATTGCTTGTGTGAGTTTAAAGCTGGACTTATCAATAGTTTTACACAAAGGAAACTAATGATTTGTGACAAACCCTCAGAGAATTATTAGTTATTGTTTAGCTCACTGTTTTGAATTTATGACCCCCGACGTCATTTTTTAAAATCTAGTGTTGAGCAAATACCCAACTTTTGAACATAGAAGCAATGTGATTAGTGTAAGGTCATAGAGTTTTGAATGATGTGACATCTACGTGATACCGTGTTTTTCCACAAGCCAGAACATTTGGCTTAGTTTTACATGAAGCATTTATGTGATGTGTTTGATAGGAACAAAATGTTATTGATTTGTATCTGCATTTAGTATAAACTGTTTGGTTGGACTGGATGACTCCACATCTCATGATTTCCATCCACTGCCAATGTTCAGAGCATTTATTTGAGCCCAACTCATAACATGCCGCTGTTTTCTCTGGCAAGCTAAGACCAGACAAGATTCCCTAATTAGAAAAATTCTTCTTTCTCCTGGATGTCTGAAATCGATACTCATGCAACCTCATGCCAGAAGTGAAAGTTCATGAAAACACATGTGAAAAAAGAGAATCAAACCAACTCAAAGCTTTGATGGTTTTTATATCCTGCTATCGCTTGAATCCTAAATTGCTCTTTTGCTCTCACTAGCTGTCACATTGATCTCACCAGCCTTGTTTCCAACTGTTTTTAGTTTAAAAGTCCTGATAAACACACTGCGCACTACCTGCCCAACACCCATTGACAGACAGAAATAGTGACAATGAACATAGTAGCAGTTAACAAGCCGTAGTTCCTTAAAAAACAGAAAAGGTACTAAAATAGAATGAAAAGATTGCATATATTGGACTTAATTAAAGATAGTGTTGGTCAATGTCTGCCAAAATGTCAATATTGTGTTTACAGCTTGTCCCACTGCCCTGAAGTGGCCAAAAAAACAGAGTGAATGCAGCTTTAATCACATTTGCTTCATCCCATGAACCATAGTGGAGCCAGAGATCAAGTTGGTGGGCAACATGCATGGCAATGAGGTTCTGGGCCGCCAGCTGATCCTGTATCTGGCCCAGTACCTGTGTTCAGAGTATATTCTGGGAAACCACCGAATTCAGACCATCATCAACACGACTCGCATCCATCTCCTGGCCTCCATGAACCCTGACGGCTATGAGCTAGCCGCCGCAGAGGTAGAGGATAGCAATGACCCGGAGCTCGCCAACCATGAAGTAAATATTGTTAACAGAGGAAAAGACAAAACCGCCATTATCCGCTCTCATTTTATTGTCTGCTCAGTTTGAGGTGTGGAGGTGGAAGAACAAGGTTCTCTGGTAAGGACTGCTAATGCAGAGACCTTTTGCACTGTAGGTTATGACATGGGGCACCATGGAGCACCATTGTGGCAATGTAGAGAGTTTTGCAAACACTGAAGCTTTAAGAAAAGAGAATACTCAAGACTTCCACCTCCTACCTGTTGCTCAGTCTGTCTGCCTACATAGTCGTTCTAGTCCTGGACATGTTCTCCCACTGCCAAACAAAGTCATCAACTAATCAGATCTCAACATAGCTAGAAAAAAATATACAGAAGATAACCAATTTAGTTCCTTCACTGAATTTGAGTCCTAAAAAAAATGACAGCAACTTTGGATACCATAGCAGGCAGTGGGAAAACAGCATGTACTCTGCATGTTTTCACTTCAGTTTTCTTGCTTGTTTATAGTAGAAGTCTCTTACCTATGTTTATCCTACTGTGCATTGTATGGTATGATTTTCCCAACAACTTTCTGTTGGCATGTCTTAATCATAATTTTGTCATTTTCTTTAAAAAAAAAAAAAAAACTCTGCATGAATACTATGCTGTGGACTGATCATGTGCATGCTCAAATTTGTGTATCAGTCATTTGAGACAGGACTGCTATACGTATGGTAACGCTTACATTATGAGACCCATAATGTAAACTAGGATGATCGACATTGACCATGTATGTAATTCTAAAATGTACTGTGTAGCCTAATTTCCTATTGGTAATGGAGAATTACACATGTACTGGTCTGAATGATTTACAGTACATGAATGAAAAATTAATGGAAGTTTCCAGTATTCTGTACATTGTATGAAAATTCACTCTGCATATTTATATGCGGCATATTGCATGTGTTATAGTAACTTTTCAGTTATACTTAATGTATAAAAGAAGAAGTAAAACCTCAAACTGTTGTCATATTTCCACTGTATATGACCACATATACACAAATGTTTACAATATGTAACAGTTTGCAAAATCCAACAATCCCTTTTTAATTGTTTGGATAGAAAGTTCATGGACTGAATACCTTCTGCTAACCTAAAAAATTAAGAAATAGTGGTTTTAGCCACCATTTTCTATTTTTCCTCATGACGGATATATGGTCTTGTCTATGTGTTAACAATAGATTTAGCAAAAGTAGTCTAACATGTTCCTTCTTGAATTACTGACTAATATTCACATAATTTGCTTAATAGTTTCTTCATGTAATCACTGCTCCTACTAATGTCAACATACCACCATCACCAATATTATTATTACCATTCTGGACTGTTTCACACCTTTTAATGCTTCTAGTTGTTTGAATGCAAATGTTACAGGGTCACTTGTTGAATGGTTGGACCAACGGTCGGACCAACGCCCAGAATCTTGACCTAAACCGCAACTTTCCGGACCTCACCTCCACATTCTACCGGAACCGACGCAGTAGACACTATCGCATTGACCACATCCCAATCCCTGATGCCTACTGGTTTGGGAAGGTACGAAGATGCTAGAAGTTTTGACTATTATTTATGCAAAAATAATGGTTGAGCAAAAAAATGTTGGCACTAGTCTATAGCAAATTTTTATTTTTAGGGTCCGAGGACCCCTACTTGCTGCAGCAAGGATAGGGCAAGGACCCCTATTGTTCCTGCTGCGTTTCTTTCTTTCTTTCTTCTTATTATTTCCCTGACCAACGCGTTTGCCTTAATTTGACCCCCTAAACACGCTCAAAAACTCACCAAAATTGGCACGCACGTACGAATCGGCGAAAAATTTGATAAAATGAAAAAAACAAGAGAAAAATGCTCTCTAGCGCCACCTAGTTACAGAAAAACACACTAAAATGGCCCTAGCTTCTAGTAGGAATGTCGCACAGAGATCAAACCAACATCAAAACGTTCGTCTCAATGAGACCCACAAATCTCGCACTGACACCCCTGACCTATTTCAAACAGGAAGTTCACAATTTGCCTTTCAAAGTAAAAAAATGAGC